GTGGTGGGGTGGTGGTGGGGTGGTGTGGTGGGGTGGTGGTGGGGTGGTGGTGGTGGTGGGCGGCTTTGGCAGGGGCTTGGGTTGGGGCGGTGGGCTGTGTTTGGTGGGCGGTCGCGGCGGCGATGGCGGTGACGGTGGAGGTGGCAGCGGCAGTGGCGGGTGGCGGTGGGATCACCATGGATGATGGTGGCAGGGTAATTCTGAGGGCACTGACTATAGTAAGAGAGGCAACGGCAGGCACAATGACAAACATCAACTTTGCAGCAGCTGGAGGGAGAACTCTCCAGGGCAGCATGCTTGTCAGCTTAGACCAGGGTTCTTAAACGCCCAGTTCTGGTTAAAAGAACACAAACACCAGCACACGAGTCTGGGAGACAGTAGATGCTGGCACAGGATTCACAAAACAAGTCGTGCGACAGAGGAGTGTTGCTGAAAGCCCGTTTTGGATTGCTTTCTAAGTCATGCGGCTTTGAATCAGAGATATCAGAGGTGAGCACAAGGACAAAAGAACTCTCGAAATTAGATGTCTACGGAATGCACAGGGCCTATCAATTACGTAGCAACAGCCATGAATTCCCACCAGCGGCTAAAAAAGCACAATGGATGTACTCGAGACTCAGATCTCACCAGCGCCCGGCCACAGCCCACCTTCACAGGTATGCGGGAATGCAAGCTGCAAGCCCTATCTGCGCACAAATGGGCCGTTGGTGAACATGAATCCACGGCCGAGGGTCAAGTCGCTTCTTGCAGCGATGTGTCCTTTGTGGCATCCCTTTTATAAAGATACGATGTGTTGCAGACAGCCCCACGTAGAAAAAACAACGTCACGTATGCCACAGTCAGTACCAGCAAGCTAAATCAATGCCATAAAGGTGAGACCGCTGCCACCATTGTGCATGGTGCAAGGCGCACTTCATGTCAACATGAAGCAAAGGCTCCAGAAGCATTGGGTTGAATCCGAGGTAACTGTCGCTTTCGTTCCCTTGCGGTCCAACAATCGCGGAACCTGCGAACGCAGTCAGCTGCCGGCACCAGAGCTTTCGATTCTCCCATGCAAATATGCAAGTATGGTTCGTCTGGCCTCATCAGCTGGCACCGCAGCTCTGATGTCAAACAGCGACGCGAATAGAGAATACCTGCACAAATTCACGGGCATTTTCCCTGAGGTCACCTTCGGCGTCTAACGGACAGGCTGATGTTGGTTTGATGCGCGTCCACGTAGCATTCACACTATGCATGCATTGATGCCCCCCGGGTATCCAAGCGAGGCCAGTCACGCTCATCATGCAAGCACAATAATTAATCTTCCCTGTATTTCCATGCTCACCACGGCCAGGCCGGCTCTACCCTTACTATGGGAAGCATGTGCTTCATTCTGCATGAAGGCTCAGTAGGTTTAAGGCCTAATCTGGTTCATGGAGACTCGCGCAGGACATGAAGATTCAGTCAAAACATAGCTGGGCAGTTGCTCGCTTGGGCCCTCTTTGTCGCAGTAGCGGCTGCTGCTACAAGACCAGCAGCAGCAGCGGCAGCAGCAGCAGCAGCAGCAGCAGCAGCGACGGCAATAACCATGAAACTAACATAATCTAACTATCTCGACATCTGGGAGGAGTTCGAAGACGAGGAGACCTAATTAACTATCACAGATAGCCGGCTCTACTTCAGGTCCTGAGTCCTGAAAGCCCCGGTCTTGTTTGGAGGAACACGACTGTCAAAGGTGATTTCATGATCACAGAAGTTTCTGCAAAAGCCAGCACTCCATCTGCATACAACCACACAGGCAAGCTCTGGAATTGACAGCTGTGCATGGTCTCGAAGTTTCACTCTGCGATGCAGCAAGCCGAACAGGTCCGCCTGTGAAAGTGGGGCTTCCCAGCGAAGGCGGACTTGCGTGAGATCACTGTCGCCAGATTCTCGTCGAGCTTGGTTTGCGTGAAGCTTCGTAGGGGGGAGCCCGCAAATGCAAACACATGCCCATGTCCTACATGGGCAGCTCCCTTGTGCAACTTTCATCTTTTTGCTTCCTTGCCACTCCACGGCTTCTGGTGCGTGACGCATTGCCTCCTTATTTGTTCGAGGCTTGTTTTCAAGAGACCGAAGCAGTACAGAGACATTGAAGTGCCTGGTGATCGACCATCAGGGCTGCGAGGAGTGGAGGCCCCCTCTGCATTCTTTGGCGACCTCTGCGCTTCGAGCTCGGAGGATTGAGGCGCTTCTGGTGCCTCATCTGAATCTGGACCAGGTACCTGAGTTAAAGCTTGCATTGGATGAATTGACAGGCCCGGGATAGTCTTCACGTGCGGATTGCATGAAGAATGGGCCGGCTCTGTGCTGTAAGCTCGCAGCAATCTGCACGCTCAGCCGTTTGCCTCAAACAATGCAATATCCGTATCACATTCCCTCTGACAGCCTGAAACGCCCAACACCATTCCATGAGCATTCTTGACATTGGAATGAGGGTCGGCCACTCATGGCTCCATCTGATGCTTCAAATTCGTCATGCGCAAGCCCAACCAGCCATCAACGTCTACCACCTTCTCTACAAGCTGAATTGGGCAATCGTGCTGCCAACGCACAAGTTCCAAGATGATGCCGAATGCGCCAGCATGTTTGAAACTTAAGAGGGCCAACTTCTCAAGCCTGTTGCCTGCATGCCTGCAGTGCTGACTGGCTGGAATTCTGGCTCCTGGTGCTTTTTGCCAACGCTGGCTGCTCACGCGAACTCAATCCCGGCCGTTGCCGCGTCGGCGGCCTAACAGGGTCAAAAACAGCGGCCTATGGCGCACAGCAAACAGCAGTGTTTTCTTGTGCCAGGACACCTTTCGCAGCGGAACGTCCTTGGCAGAGCTCTAGTTGCTGCCATGTGCGGTGAGGACACCCCGGCTTGGCTCTGAGCCTTGCCCTTTTTGCATGCTGGCACGCGGTAGCTTTGCGGCAGCCCATGGATCCAAACCTATTCGAGTAAAACTGCTCAAGCTGAAAGATTCTTTTACGTGATGCGCCTGACACCCATGGATCTTCTTCTTGCGCGTGGCCCATAGATTTCCTCAAAAGGCGATCAATTGACATATTGTGCGATACGCTGACTTTCTGCATTCTACATGTTGAGTGTGCCTGGGATACTTGGAATGGGGCTTGGCAGGAGTATCCTCCTCGCATGGAATTGGCTCCGCAGCTGTTGACCGCACCTCGAATTATGTCCATGCGTTTGCATGCTGCCATGCTGCCTACTGTGCCAAATCCTAATGCTGGACGTGCAGTTTTAAAACTGCAGTCACAGCCCCCTGGCTGGCAATTAATTATGAACCCTTTGAGGCCCAACAAGCTGGGACAAAACCTTTTACCCCAAAAGCTTGAGCGGAACAAGCAGCCACTTGAGGTCAGCACCAAAATCCGTATAGCCGGTTGCAAGGCCGGCTGCTGCACTGTTTTCTTGTTGCCTGCTAGGTAATCTAGTCTAAGAACGCTGGATGCAGGATAAGGATCGTAGACAGGGCCTGGGATTTCCCGATGCAAGCCTTCCTCCTTCAGCAAGCCCAACATGTCTCGAATTCTGACAATTGAGCACACCAAACAAGGTGCACACAGCCGGATCGACAAAGTCCTGTGACACATGGCTACCTCTGCGACCTGTGCACCACCACTAGCAAGTCTGGCTCAAGGCTCGCGGCTTGCTTAGGACCTAGCTGCATAGCTTCTTTGAGATGAAACGGAAGTGCTCTGCATCACACGGTCGGGCACATTTTGTCAGCATGACTTGCAGTTGGCATATGTTGGCATGTCTGGTCTGTGCTGTCCGGTCCGGGCAAACCTTTCTTGAAACCAAAGCTTTCCTACAACTGGATCGCTCAGCGACGTTGGAATCGCAGATTTGCTCCGAAGTAAGACACCAGGAGCACAAAGACTGAAAGAGCCAATAGCAGTCTTGGCAGATTGGACTTTGGCGGCTCGCGATCTTGTGCTTGCACTTGTTGGGTTGGAGGTCCCGCCTGTCACACACAGCTGCATAGACAGCAGGGCTTGTCTTCAGGTTCCGTAATGCTGGAAGAATTTTGGTCTTTGCCAGCCGTCATCTTTTGTGATGCAGTCTCAGTTTCAGGCAGGGTCCTGCTATGGAGTTGTCAGCGCTCCAAGCCCTTTCCTACCTTCCCTTTTCTTCAGCTTTCGGTGGTCACCCACACACTTACGCACTCATCCGCCCAACCTTCACTTGTCGTTGACATAATGGCAAAAGAATTTTCAGCATGTAGCTTAGCTGTTGCCCTTCTGCGAAGCTGGTCCATGCAAGATCGAAACCATGTCTAACCATCCAATTGCTGGGACGCATGCAGATAGATGACTATGACCCTGGACATCTATCTCCCTGAAAGAGGGGGGGACAACGACAATTTTCAAGCGGGGACCTGATCTGCTTGCGCAGCGTTGCCGCTGGCCTCTGCGGCAACATCAGCGCCAAGCGAGAAGCATCCATCTCCACTGCGCTTGCGCTCATCGCAGAATTCTGGAAACAGCTGGCGGAACTCCGCCCTGGCGATGTTGAAAGTGAAGGATGCCCGGGCATATTCCCGACGCTTCCCTTCGGATGCGTGCATGCCCCCAGTTGTACGCGGCTCACCTGGATCCAACATGAAGGAGACCAGGCCCACAAGAATGGACTCAATTCGCCAGGATGGGTTCCAGCTCTCTGGGTGAAAATCTGACATGCTCAAGCAAAGCCTGGTGTTGATATCGAACCTGCCAGATGGCGTAAGCATATAAATAGCTGGTGGTTTGAGGGGATATTCCCTCGGAAAAACTAGCTTTCCCTCATATACACCCCCACGGTAAGGTGTCTCGGCGGGCAGGTCATGGAGGACAAAGTGCCACACCAAGATGTTGGTATCTGACGGCCTTGCGACAATATGCGGGATCTTGGGAGACTGCTGGATGATTGCATATTCTCGGCGGAGGCGCGTCAGCGCTGCTTTTTCAACCATGGCAAGCCTCTTGCGGAGTCAGCAGTGCGTGCGTGTGAGTATGCCGTGTCAAGAGCATTTCTAGCCCGGAATTTCCAAGGTTGATGGGTATGCGGAACCTAGAATTTGCTTATGATTCCTGGAACACGGAAGGTCGTCTCCAACTTGGGAACGAGTGGCACTCGCTGAGGCCGAAAACCAACAACCAAGCATATGAAAATGGCCAGCGTCTGCAAAAAGTACTTGCACATAATGCATCATGATGCACAGACCCAGTAGACCTTAGTAGATTCATCTCAGCTTCAGGCTTCTCCTCACTCGAGGACCTCCAAAATTCAGAGGGAGGGATCGCTGAGGCTACTTCGCCACCTGGCCTGCTGGCTCCTGCTGACAGAAATGTGCCTGCACCAGGGAGCCCCTTGTAAGCGACCCTTGCGCATTCAGCCCAACAAGCCGTGTGCTCACAAACAAGCACGCGCATCTAAGCAGGCTTGTTGCCACGGGCGACCTCTTCGTCTTCCGCTTCCAGACCTTCCTTGGTCTGGCTCGCAGCTCCCCAGCTGCCCCAATCCACCATGCCGGAGAGCTTGGGGCAAAACATGAAGATCTTCGGGCAAAGCACCGCCTTACCAAGATAACCAAGCAACAGTAAGACATGTAAGACCGCCATGCTGATGCTGGAACTTGAGCTTGGAGCTAGAAGTTGCTGTGCTGACATCGCTGCTACCACAGAAATTCGGCCGGACCTGGAACATGCTAATCTCCGGATCTGCAAGCTGCCACAGAGTCGGACAAAACCTGCAACTCTCGCAGCAATGTCAGCACAAGCCCCGTACTGTCTCCGACCACCGGGAACCAGAACCTAAAGCACCAGGCAGCTTTTTTCCTGAAGACACATTTCAAGATATAGCTGCTCAACTTCAAGTGCCCCACCTTCAACTTCATCTTGTGTCCAGTCAGCTTCATACTCCACTTCTATGTTGAAGCTCCTTTCTGACAAAGAAAGTGCTTAACATTGCCCGAACGACATGCAGCGGCCCCGAATAGAATTCAAAGCTCAATTAAACTGTAACGGTTGAAGCAAAAGCTTGAAGGATGCCAACTGAAGATAAAGACATTCATTGCGACAGTCAAAGGGATGGATGTACATACCGCTGAGAGCAGCACGTTGTGCGCGGACTCTCCTAACATGCAGGACGCGGCGAAAAGTGCAGCCATGCTTTGCAATCCAGTTCGTCCTCTTCCTCTTTGACCGCCCTCATCCGGCTACCCAGGTTTCCTGAGATGAAAGCCGTGCAATGATTTCGTGAGTCATGCTGTTGCTGTCAGTCAATCTCGCAGATTGCTTTCCGCGCAAGCAAAGGCAACATGCCTACCCCAGTAGAACAATTCAAGCAACATGCCATGACTCCAATGACTGGATGCCACACCCTCACACATCGAGACGAAGGATGAGGTCAAAAACAACTTCAAATTCGCGGTTGATTGCTTCCCTGAAAATGTCTTTGTTCTGTGCCTTTGTTCTGTGCGTTGCGGTTTGTGCACGAGTTGACGGGCTTGTGCCAAGATGTGTTCTCACATGTACTTGTCACAAAACCACGGCCATTGATGCCGAGGACCTCCAACCCATCTCTGTGTCATGGTGGATACACTTCTGCAGCATGTGGCTGATAGCTGCAGTAACGTGTTTTCATGGATCATCCTTGGAAACTCTGCAGCTGATCTACTTCGTTCCGCCAGCACCAATTCTGAGACGTTCTTGAACTGTTTGAATCTGTTCGTGTGATTGCTGTTGATTTCTTCGTTTGCTTTCTGGATGACGTATGCATCGGCGTGAGCAGGATTAGTGCTTGATCAGTCTTTGCAAAGTTGCCGAATCAGCATTGCTTCTAAGCTTGAGAGTTTCGGACCTGGTAGCCATAGTAAGACACAACTGGATTTATCCAATCGCAAAACTCTCTAAACAATACCACAAGAGAAAGCAATCACTTAGCAGCATGCTAAAGAGGCTCCTTTAGTCGGTGTGGATCAGGCCTACCAGAAAAGAGCAGCCCCTCAAGATTCTATGTTGAAAGAGTTGAAAACATGACGCCTGCCGGACCCTGCGTCCTGTGCTGGATCAGAAATTCACACTGCACTTGCGCGCAGCCCCGTGCGTGAGCATCATCGGGATGTTGTAGGTCGTGCTTGTCTCTTTTGTATTTGCTGTGCGGGGGAGTCTGAGGAGTCTCCCGGAGGGGTGGCGGGGGATTCTGGGAGGGGTCTGGAGGCTGGGGTCGGAGTTGCCGCTGTTTGTTGCTGGCATGCAAAATGCAGCAAAACAGCGAACAGAAAAGGGAAAACAACAAGAAACTGACCCAAAAAGAGCTGGGAAATTCAACTCCCACCCCCAGACCCTCCTTGATCCTCCCAGACTCCTTCCAGAACATCTCTAAATTTTTGCTCAACGGATTATGCTGTGGTTTATTGTCCTCGCCGGCTGCTCAAGAATTAATTTCGAGGCCGCAAGGGCAATTTGTTTTTGACAATCGCATCAAAAACCTAACCTCCATTTCACGTAGCGTGCTGCTGCTCTCCAAGGTGGTTCTGTAGTTTGCCCTTTCAAAATTGAGATGAAGACTGCATCGCTGTGAAATCTTCCCGCCTCCGTGAGGAATTGTAACTTGCACTTTGTTGCAATCAGAATATCATCTGCATAGTACATTCGGACAGCATCAGAGATCAGCATGCCTCATGGAGATAGTTCTTGACAAAGAGTATGGCGAAAGTGGACGGCCTTGCCTAGCACCTGAAGACTACCTTTGGGCCTTTGGACCAATGAGAACCGCAATCTCACCAGCCAATCTGTCATACACAATTTTGCAAAATGCGTTTCCGAATCTAATGGCAGTACTGCCTTGCTGTTCTGTGATGTCTTGCACCCGGCGGGTCGAGGGGCTGGCGAGCAACGTGCTGCATCCCCAGCCATCTAAAGCATCGTAGCATCGCGCACAAAGAGTCTCTTGGCATGAGCCTCACGCAATTGATAATCATGGACTTATATTACGCACTGACTGGCTTCAACAAAATGGGCCGACAGTTTGCTGGAAGTTTCATGCTCCCTTCTTGAAAATGCAAACCACCCTGGCAAGCAATATTCCATTTGGCCTTCTGCCTCGCTCAATCAAAAAATTACTACAAGTATGTTCTGGATGGTTAATATTTTGGTTTGGTTCGTCCATTTAAGCAACTGAATAACTACCCCGTGTGGCCGCTGTTCTTCTTGAGAATACTCCCAGTATCGCTTAGGACATCATCAAAGGATCCAACTTCACTCAAGCCACTGCTGCTCCAATGCTTTTTCAATTGTCAGCGAACCATTCTGCTTTTCTGCGTGCTATAAAGTTACCTGGATGTCTTTGATTTACGTAAATGCGGTCTGAAACCCGTTTTTCGGGCCACGAGCTCCTTCCCGTTTGCCTTTTTGTTCCGGGACGTCTTCTAAACCATGAAAAATTCGGCGATTCAGTTTTCTCACTTACCAACACTGACGTTGCAGATGTTTTCCACATGTGTGGAGATTAGCTACATTAGTTCCTTCAGCTTCTGATTGTGAACTGGCCATTCTGCGCTGGATGGCTGCCGAAATTGGCTGTCTCCTGCCAAGAGTTGGCAAGGACCGGATAGCAGCACAAGTTCAGGGCCCTGGGCCAGGTGATACGGCGCAGTTACTATACATTGCCGTCGCTTGGGGCAGATTTGACACAGACTCCAGGCAATACAAAAACCAGATTTTGTGAGCAGCTTTGGCATAGCACGAGTCTGCAGAAATGCTAGCTGTAGTCCAGCTGTCATGTCTCGCTTGAACTCACCAGTCGAGCAACAAGAGGACCACAGCAGAAGTCAAGCTTTCCAAGCATTGTTGCGACAGCTCTGCGCTGAAGTGTGGTCCTTCATGCTGAGCCCAGCACGTCGAAACCTGTTATGCTCCTGATGTGCAGAAGACAGGCAAGTTTACATGGCAGACTGGGGCTCTGAAGTGCGGCGTCCTGCGGATCTTCACGAACCGGACTTGCCTTTGACATACTTGCAAAAGTTGCTCCAGCCGCCTTGGCGGATGTGCGTGTGGTTTGGCTTCGGGAAGCCAGATGCTCAGCATGCGGCAAGCAACTCCAGCTCGAGGAGCATTTTTGCCTCATCTTCGGACAATCCACGGCCTCTTCAGACGGCGCATGATGTTTTGGCTCATCATAAGTTCACAACAAACCATGCCAGCAAAGCAGTCCGTCATGGAAGCCCGTCATGAAACATAGACATGAGTTCGACTCTGCTTCAAGAGCCATTGGCAACGGGCGGCACGCTTCTCCGAAGGCTCTCTTCCTCACGTACCTACTTTAGCAGATACCACTTCTACAGCAGCGCAGGCCAAGATGCATGCAACGCTGCAAGGCACAGCGATTGTTGCTATCGGGCATGCACGTGCTGACTTTGCAGCAACTTCCGCTCACATTATGACACGTCGACAACCTGGAAAGCAAAGACCAGATTGAGAGACCATGATTTGACGCACAATGCAGAATCAATCACCCAAGCTCTGTCCCGACTCCTGGTTGACAGAAATGAGCAGCATTGGCGAGGACGGCTGGGACGGATTGAAATAGTTCCTGGCACGATGCTCCAGAATGACTAGCACATGAAAATGAACTGCAACTTTGTGGAAAGACCTGCCCTTTTTGCTCGTGCTACCTCGCCGCGATGACGTGATGCACATGCATGTTTTGTTCTGGTGCCTCTTGCTCTCTCAAAATGCACCAACACGCTGCATAAGTCCTACGCGCGTTGTTGAAAAGCCATTGGCTTCTCTTGAATACAGAAGCTCAACGTCCGGCGCTTTACTTCCTCTGTCTATCACCTGTCTCGTGTGTTTTTGCTCAGCCCTGTGCCCAAACCAGCCCTGCTCACCGATTTCCTTGATGGACAGTTCCCAATCTATTCCAGAAGCAGTAAATTCATGGCTGCAGTCGATTGTAGCCTGACTCTTCTCAAGAAGTACCCCTCAGAGATATCCATCACCTTCCCCAACAAAGCCATGGCTCTCAATCTTGACGTCCAGTCCCCGTGAACTTGCCATCTCCTGCGCACAGTATCCTCTTGTTCCAGGACAGCTGCCCATGAATTACGTCGCGTAACGCTGGTTTGCACATGCATCAACTTGTCCTCAAAGTACGCCACCGACCCAAGTTGCTGCCTTGCGACATTGTCAGGCTCCTTAACAATGAGGCCCAGCAGTCAGAATGACGCTTTCATCACAACTTGAGCGTGACCCCACCATGCGGCCCCGAGACCACAAGAAGAGCAGGCCCACCAAAATGCATGATCAGGTCCACCAGCGATGAAACAACTTGCTTGTCATACCTGTCTTGCTTGTTGCGCACATGTTCACTCCATGCATTTTAACTGCTCTGAGGACTTCCAGATGAGATGCAGAACGTCAGCTGCAGCAGTGAGACCACCAAAAGGCTTAGGCCAGCTGTCTTTGTCTGACCAATCAAAAGCTGTAGTTGACCTGCCACATGCACTGATACGCAGTGCAGTGAGTAGGAGTGAGGATGGTCACCAGGAACAAAATTCCTGTCAACTCCGTTTGTTTCTGCCGAGGTGCACTTTTTCTGCAACACCATTTCGGGTTGCTGACTGCCTCCTAGGTGAGCCACGGACAAAAGGTGACAAACTTTGCGCTACATCAAGTCTTCCCCCACACTGCAGCAAGCGCATGATGAAACACCTCATAGTATGCATTAGCCAGTCATTTCTCGTCTCACTAGGAGTCATTACAGTGGATGGAGCAAACCTCACACGACCCTTTATTCCTTACACATCCTCATGCTACTTATACCTATCAATTGCAAGATCCTAAGGGTCCTAAATGATCTACATGGTCCTAAGAAGTGCATGATTGTGCATGATTTCCTTCGTCCACTGTATCAGCTGTATCAACACGGGTTGGATCCGCCGAATCAAGACAAGCGGCGATAAGTCCAAAACCTGAGTGGCAAATGGCTTGAATTCATACGCAGATGCGGATTTAAGTTTTGAGCAGACATAATGCAACCGCGAAGCCAACGAATCCCTGTCATTTAGCAACACGCGGGGCGCGCCAAGCTTAGCAGCAGCTATGCCTTCGCAGCTTGCATGCAGTTTTCCAAATCTTAAACTAACCTCCGCTCTGCTCAGTGATGGATGAAACACTTAAGCCTTAAGCCTTTTCTCGCAAGAGCTCAGCCATGGAAAGCAGACCTAGTCAATAATAAGTAATTGTGTGAACATACGGGGGTTTGGGCAAAGGAGTCCCCTGCGCCATTGCAAGAGTTCAACCTACTCAAACACCTGCTGTTTGGAAGACGGACCCCTTCCCTGTAGACTCCTCAGCAGCTGGAGCTCCGATGTATATGCAATATTTCTGCGATCTGGGCCAAATTTGGATCCCCATGGCTGCATGCCCCACAGGCCACATTCCCTGCTGGGCCTACCAGGGCCCTCATACGACCTTCCTCCCTTCTCCAGCTCGGTGTGAGCCGCACTGGAGGGCATTGAAACGGAGCCTACCCGGTCTGCCCCCACATTAAAGGTGCCTGTGAACCAAACCCAGGAACTCCTTGCGCAAATCGCTGGAAGTTGCCGTAGCATGGGCTTACATCGCTTTGAGAGAGCCACCACAAAGGCAGTGCACTGGCGGTTCAAGTTGTCGTGTGCATTGTCAATTGTCGATGCCGTTTCTGCTGCTGCTTGGGGTGCTCCAAAAAGCCTTGAAGCGAACAGCTTCAGTCTAGTGCTCCCAGTTTAGGCTCAAGCCGACCCGCGTCATACGTAGCTTGTGAAGATGCTTTAGGGACACGCTGCTTCACTGGGCCTGTCCTTCAAGCGCGAAAGCAACCATGGCTTCGTGCAGTATGCCATGCGAAAGAGCAAATCTTGAAGTCCAAGTAAGGTGGAGCTATGCCTCATCACATGAAAGGGCGCGCTCATCGCGTGCGGAGGGGCTGGGACCAGCCTCCGTAGAGGGCTTTGGTTTTGGCAACCCTGTAGAATTGTCCAGGAGAATGTTGAAGCCATGATGGCCTCCAAGGACGCATGCGGGTGTCGAAACCCACACGGAGCTGCTGGAGGGGAAGCTTCTCTGCCATGCTGTCAACCCAAGTGGGAGCCAGCGCGGTCTTGCTAAACATGCTCCGTCGCCAGAGTTCCGTTCGCATCCAGCCACAAGATAACCATGAGACAAGCAGCAATTGCACGGGGGCATTGAAGGGCTCAGATTCACCAAAGTTCACCAACAGATATCACTGATACAGACTCATACTGAAACAGTTTTGATATGTGTTACACATACTGATACTTGCAAGGCCAATGCCGCAGGTGGGCGAAGGAATCGGTGAGGCGCAGCCTTGCGTTCGGCCCTGAGTTCTTTCACTTTCGCCACTGGCACGTGCATGTGGCAACAGGCCATGCAGCGTTTATGGCAGCGCAGACGGAGCTACACACTACACGTCACTACACATGCAGATTGGCAGAATTTTGGTTTGGACTTGGGCAGTGCAAGAATGGCCAGGCCTGCGAGCCCAAGGCCAGCACCGAGCTCACAAAGTCCATGAGCTTTCCAAAGCTCCTTCCTGTGCCATGGCTGTAGTGCTTGTGAGCTTTGCTATCAGGGGACATGAGCAGCAGCCTCTGCAACAAGGTGTTTGCAAGAACTTGCTCCGCGGGCCTAAATAGAAGCAAGCTGCGAATCTCGAACATGTTTCGTCTTGACCCCTTGCTGATGCTTGCAGGGGAGAAAACCACACGATGTCTGACACTGTGCCAGCTCCCGCATCAACTTCTCTTTCAAACCGGTTATAGTCCAGAACCTGATTAGCACAAGGAGCGTCGGCAAGTGTGTGCTGTGTCTGCTGCGTCTGCTGCACATTGCGCATGCCTGAGCACTCGACGTAAGCTGGAACCACCAGATCCACATCAACTTCACCCAAACCGAATCTCGTTTCCGCTATCTGGCTCAGCAGAGCTTTTCTTGCGGCATTCATCGAGGGGTCCTGAAAAAGGTGTGGCTTCAGCAAGCGAACTTGAGCACATAGGCTCGCAAAACATATGCAAATCTCGCTCCTTGCCCAATCGCTGCTGCCTTCGTTGCTCCTCCTTGCTTACCTGACCACCAGCAGGCTGTAGGCCGAAGCCCTTGCCCTTGCCTCTCCTGAGCAGAGTCTCTCAACAACTTTTCGCACATGACAAAGGATCGGGCAGCTTTGTAAGCGTTGTCTGATGGTCTCTAAGACATTCAAAAGACCACGTGTCCGCTTGGCGGTCGGCTTCGAGGTCCGTGCTCTTGCCGGCGCTGGATCGAAGCCAGCTGCGGCAGGACCGAAGGTCAATGTGGTTAGCAGCAAGGCCTCAATACAAGCACTTGCTCAATTGAAGATTTCTGCGCTGCTGCGGTCTCCTGATGAGGCAGCAGCCACAAGTAGAAGGCTCAGTTGTCGCTGCTTCGCGCTACGCATGCTGGAAGGCATGCCCATTTGCGTTTTGACGAGGAAATCAAGCCATATGGCGGTCGCCCGCATGCTTGGAGTCTCTGATCTGATTTGCTTGGCCTACAGCATGGAGCACAGTGCGACCTTCACCGTTGGTGAATCTCACATCTGTCGTCTGTCTCAACCATGGCAATCACATTGCAAGTTGCAAGCCCTACCTGAAGCCAAGAAGCTGCAAAGCACTGTATGTATGAAGTCCAGACCCACGTATTTGACGATTTGACAGCGCTTGACTTTACATGCGCATTCTGAATCAATGACCGCCTCCTCGATCACATGCTTGCTATGCAAGTGCCTTTGGCACATGCTACGTGCCGGCTTGTTCGGCAACGAACGCTCATCCAAGGACACACTGCTTTGTATACCCTGCAGTAAACACCCCACGCTGACGCACAAGCAAAGCAATGTACATAGGAGTGTATAGATTGTATAGCTGACAGATCAGCATGCCAAGTTTGACTTGAGGACAGGACGTCAGCACCCACTTTGCAACAGACCGTGCTGCCTGTACACACATTTATGCAAAGACGAGGCGCCCATTAGGCGCTAGCCAAAGCTAGTTGAAGTCGGCTTCCATTAGGACGGAAGTCCAATGGATGGCATGCGACATCATGCGACGCTAGTCTGCAAGCCTTGCATACAATTGAAAACCACCCCACGTGAGGTCTCTGACGAGGTCAGCATACGTGCAGCCAGGAAACTTCTGGCGCTTGCGCTCAGACACGTCCATGGAACGGTCCTGGCGAGAAGCTGGCTGCAGGTTCCTGACTGCATGCTGCAGCCTTGCTAGTGCGAGCTCCATTTCTTTACAAGGATGGCATGAGCACGTTCGAGGCCGCCGCTGGAAGTGCTGTGATCCTTGAGGGCGGCTTTTGCTCTGACACGGCCCTGGCCTGACCATGGCAATACGTGACAATGCTTAGATAGAATTTCTGTTTTTTGGGCTGGATATGACTGGATTGATGCCTGTGACACTGAAGTGGCACCCCCACTCCTTGTCCATAGAGAACCTGGCACGAGGCAACATGGCTCAGCGGCATAGACATAAGTCGCGCTGCCCGCAGTGCAACCTCGCGCGTCTGCGTTGGCGCAGCTGGCCTTGCTTCGTACTACAGTTGAGGTGAACGGAGAAAAGTCAGTGGTTACCTGACTGCTTGGCACGCTACTTGGGCCGCACTGTTTGGATGCCACCTCTTTTCACGTTGAGCAGCAGCACATCGGCGCCACATCAATGTCCTCTGGTTGGCAGACGGCTGCCATTGTGCTCCAAGCACGTGCAGTACTAGACCATGGCACCGTTCCGTGTGCCTGGGCTCAGCACATTCAACATCTGTGAGCCCAAAATCGATGCTGCTGCTCCTGAGCTCCAAGTCCCAGGCTGGGCACAGTTGCTCAGACAACAAAGAGACGATAAGAAATCCACGAGCCAGCTACTGAAATTCCAAGGCTCTGCCCATCACTTTCTTCGACGTTCTCCTTGGAGCCCTGGATGCAGGTTCTCAAGGATGCATTTGCTGCAGCTACTTTGGTGCTTGGAATAGCTCGGCGGTTGTAATAGCTTCTGACAACCCCGTGCGATTACTGACCAAGGACAAAGGCTGCCCTCGGACAAGCCATCCCCCATGTGCTTGCGACGCTTGACGAGACCAGACATGGACGAACCTTACCAGGCAAACCCAAATATGAATCTGAAGAATTGGTGACATTCAGTTGCTTCATCGCTTGTTTACTCTCGTGGTAACGCCCACTGAATCTAATATGAAGTCTGCTCTCCCACTTTCAAGACGCCCATCAATCATGCTTCCTGCTACTCATACGATGCTAGGACCCAAACGGGCCTTCTCGCGCTTCGCCGACCACAGAATGGCCCGATCAACCGCTTTCTTCCGAAACGCGGTCAACGCCTTTGGGTGAACACACGCAAGAGCACACTTTGTCGATGAAATATCTGATATCCTGCAGCAGCGCAGGCTTTCTGAGTTAATGGCGGGCACAAATTCGCGCGTTCTCTGCGACAAGTTCCGCAAAGCCTGTCATCCGCACACTCATGACTTGCAGCAGACAAGTGGTTGGCAGCGCCTCCTCATCTGCTGTGCGCATATTCAAAAAGAGCTCCCTTTCTGCTTCTGCAGCGCTCTGTGCAGAGTAGAGGCACTGCATCATTCGCACGAGCGGATCTCTTTCCCATGCCTTTGACGGAGAATCTCAGCATATCTCAGCGTGATTTTGTGTTTGTCTCTGCTGCCAAGTCACGAAGTCAGCTTTCGCCGTCGGTGCTTGTGCTTCTGGCCGCGCGACAGGTTCCGAGTGGGTGCTCAATGCAGCTGATGCGGCAATCCAGAACCGTGCATCAAAGGACTAGTGGAAAATCAGAACACAATGAAGTTTGGGGTGGAGACACGCTGGTATTCGATAAATGAGCGATGGCATGCTGGATTCCCTAGAATCGTAAGTTCGTAGACAGACAGGTGAAAGTGGGTCTGGGGCCGTTTGCAGAACAGGTGCAGATGACAAAACATGACAAAACAAACCGTCACAGAAAATCTAATATGGCTCCCAGCGGGGGGAAACTGCAGCAAACGCTCCGACTTGTTCATTTTTGCTGCAAGCACGTTACAAGCAAAAGGACTGATGGGATACTGATGGCCATTGGCGCATTTTTGCCCACCATGAATCATCACATCATGGAGCTTGTTCTAGTTCATGATGGTTTCGGACTATGATGCAAGCCCACTCCCAACAAGAAACCCTACCCAAATGCAACAAAATCAATCCCCACAAAGTATTTGCATCCGGATTTTGGGCTTGCTTGTGGGGTGAGAATTTCTATCTTGGAGGGAGGCCTGAGCAAGGGGACTTCGTTTTGGCTTGGCCACCATGGAAATGAGCTATCGATACAATAGGAGGGCTGATACGTGATCTAGATTGGACCCTTCGTGTTTGGCCTACCCGTGCGAGCAAGCTTTGAGGTCTTCATTTTTGGGTTACCCTTTCGTGTTACAGGGCTGTGGCTTGTCTGTATTCTCATTTTCCTTTACACTGTTTCTGCTGTGGGGTGCACTTGCGGTGGAAGTGACGCTGAACAGAACTCTGCCGTAACAGCGTTTAACAGCTGGAGGAATCACCCAATTCGGCAAAGACAGAATCGGTGATGTGGGGGTTCACAGCATCTGCGATCGGATCGGATTGTGAACCAGGGATTCGAGCCAGATATTTCTCCATCCACCCATTAATTCCAGCAGCTCTGCCTTTGAGACGGGCATCGCGTTGGGACATTGCACTGGTAGATTCAAGCCTCCACTGAGTATTTGGAGGAAGGGCTCATTAGTACTGCTAAAACGTCGTAGTGCCCGTGTGCAGCAGCAGCTTGATTCTTTCATGGTTACTTTCCTTCCGTGCTTCCTTCTTTTGAATTCTCTGGTTCGTTGTTCTCATCTGCCTTTCTCATCTATAGTTCATCCCACTGCGAACCCGTGTTTCTTGCGAATCCCCATTCCTTTTTCCGATCCGTTGGTGAGTATTGTTTTGGAGGGGGCTGATCTTCTCTCAGTTGCTCTTGATCTCTTCTGTGGACCCTCATCGGCATCTTGCCCGTCCCCAAATGCGGGGCGGGCTGGCCTCCTTCGTTGGAGCACCGAGAAGCCCGAATCTTCTTCGGCGGATCAGGATCCAGCAGAGATGCTAACGTTTGGTCGTCTCCAGTGCCGCAGGTTTCTGTCGCTGTTTCCTCTTCCTGCAAAGTAAGGCCATCTAAAGCACTTCACACGTACCTTGGCCGGTTTGCCGCGCACTCCATGAAACCTGCGGCAATGCTTAAAGCCAGGTCCTTGACATGGCTGCACTGTGGCGTTTGTGGCGTGGCCACTGGCCGGCTGCTCGAAAGGGGGCCTTGCCTTCGCAGCATAGCTTGCCACAATGTCACAAGCGACAAGTCTTGCTTGACCGTGAGAACAAATGGAATAGAATGGAATCTTTTTTTTGCGGACAAGCATCGATTGACGTTTCTTGTCCTGCTCATCCGGCATCTCTTTCTTCACAATCACTTCTTCCAACTTCACCTGGCAGGTCATTTGAGTCCACAGGCTTCTCTACTCTCTCGACGTGCCTGTGCTCTGGCAAATCTTCCAGAGTCTGCGGTCAGGTTTTGACATCAAAATTCCGATGATGCAGTATACCGTCCGAGGCTCAAAGAGTCTCTTAGGGCCTGGGAAAATTCATGGCTGAATTTGCTGCTTCAGTTTCTGGACTGTGGACCCATCTGCTCACCAGCATGGCACAGAGTTTCGTTGACAGAGCCTTCTCCTCCTTCAAGACTTTGACAGCATTGCTCCGCAGCTCTACCTTCCAAACATCTGTGGTGCTTTTGAACGTGGTGAAGGCACTTCACGCACTGACTGCCATTGGCACACAAGAATCCACCTCGGACAAAGGCACATGAACAGGAACCAATCTGGGCCTGCCTTTGCGTCAACAAACTGCGATTTGACTGGCAGGAAGGTAGGAGCCTGCCCACAGAATGCTGGAAAACAGAGCCCGTTTGACTCAATGTCAGGCAGTCTGGCCTTCTTCATGCGAATGACTGATCTGCCCGAGCGTCTGTTCCAAGGCTGCTGCTTGCGGCGAACCTCGCATCTGAGGACTCCTAAGAAGTTGGCATCTTCAGGAATTTGAAGTTGGCAGGGAGCTTCTGCCAGCCAGTGTCACGTTTTTCTTGCGGGGGAGAAACCGTGAATCGGGAGGTGCATGTTGCGATGCTTCTCACATGTGGCAAACACGTGCTGTATTCGTGATGTTGCGCCTCTCGACTCGAGGAATTAGCTTCGGCGGGCGTGGCGCAGCCAAGATCCGTCCAGATTTTGTGCTTGGATGTTTCAAACGTACCTGATCCCTTTAGCTTCCCTTCCAGCTCTCCACGGCTCTTTGCACTGCTGCGGGTGTTTTTGTGGTTGTTGTTGTTGTTGTTGCTGTTGCTGTTGCTGTTGCTGTTGTTGCTGCCGCCGCCGCCGCCGCCGCTGCGTTGTGGCAAAAGCACCTCTTCTAAAATCCAGCCGGTAGCCTGGTTTGAAGCCCACAGGCTCATCAGCGCGCGGTTCTCAACTCCATTCGTACAGGCCAAGGCCCTTGGCATCTCCGACCAAATGCATGAAGCCCGACAAAATTTTACAGGGGGCCATCTAACCGATTGGGAGGTAGATCAAGGATCAAATGGTTTGTGCCACACACAACGAAAGCACATGCGACCACATGCACAGCTCGCAAAAGAGCATGCGTTGTGCGAGCGTGCGGTGTGTGTGCACAAATCTAGGAGGTGCATCTAGCTCAGCAGGCTGATGTGAGCGATCTTTCGAAGTCTCAGCAGGGGCCAGGCTTCCAGATGCAAACCTGGTCAAACAAAGCTACGCAGCTGGAGAGGAAGCACCAAGCAACGCTCCGATATGTACCTGTTTGTGGAGAGACAACCTTTCTTTCTGCTGCGCCAATTGTTGATCATCGGACAAGCAGGCCTGTCAGTTTGATGTCCTGCAGCTTAGATGTGACCGGAGTGCTTGCAATAAACATGTTCCGAGTCAGTCATTGACTGTCTGCAACGGGTGGATGCGCATGTCATGACCTCAAAGACTAGTACATTCAAGTTGGGAGCTGGTAACTACCCATGGATCATCTCAAAAGGCAAGGAAAGGAAAACGATTGCAGCAGCCACCCGTCGGCCAATTGGCCTGCTCATGTGTCTGTGGAAATGTGCCGTCCTGTCGTTCTGTTAATGAAGCAGTCGCCGGTCACTCCCCTTGTGGGGGCCGCAGCGCAACAACAAAAGAGACTCAAAGCCCAAGCGGCCGGGACCCCTGAACGAAGCAGTTGTAAAGAAGCGCCGCGCCTGAATACCAACAGTCCTGGTCTTTTGCAGACGCATCCGCAAGGCCTTTGCTTCTTCCCACAGCCTAGGCTCTTTCAGGCTTGAGCTGCAAGGGTCTTCTTGCACGAGGAGATTCCTGACTGCATCTGTGCTGCCCCAGCTGTTCAAGGAACATTGCAGCCTGTGGCAATGAAAGAGGGGGTTTCGTGCCAGCGGCGCGCTCACTGGTGTGACCACCACAATTGTCAAGACCTCAGTTTGAAATCAGCAAAGGGATGGGATGGATGCATCTCACAGCATCCAAAGAACACGATCGATCAGCTCTGCCTTACACACCTTCCTGAAGGCTCGGGACGCAGTTTCAGGGTCTCCAGATCTCTCACGCCAGCAGCGAACAAACGGCGCAAGAGGTGCTGAGCACCAGCTGCCATATCCTTAAGACGGCATGACATGGCCGCATGATGCTGCATGTGATCATCTGCACCTTCTGCGCATCAGCCAGCGCCGTTCAGACTTAGTCGGGCAACTCTGGCATCTCGTCTTCTTTGGGCACGGAAACTCCAGGAAGCCAGTGATGACCGCATCCAGCGTGGGAATACCCCGATCCACAGTTGAACTGTCACTGTTTGTTCGTGGGCTGGCAGCGAAGAATGCCCATACATGCCTCAGAAATCTGCATCGGATTGCTCAGAATGGAAAGGCAGACACATAAAGCCCCAGCAATTATGCAACCCCGCCATGTGGCGGAACAGCAACGTTGATGCTGCTCAGTGGCGTACAGCTCGGCCCACGGCTTGTACGAAGGCACTGGGCGATGCCTAATCCGAGCTCAACATAGTTCAGGTGCCGTGGCTCCCCAGTGAATTAACCCCTTGCACCCCGCTTCCGCCACCTTCCGCGCCCCGTAGTTTTTGCAAGATTTTGACATGTATTCTTCAGCGGGTTAAGGGGACTATTTTGCTGTGATCCCGACCGGAAATTAGAATACGCAAAAAAGTATGTTGAGAAGGACTCAATGAGTCAAGATGCATTTTCAACATTGCTTTTGCTAGCAGGCATCCGGGGTCCGGAAGCAATCAATGGGCATTCGTTTTGGGAAGCCCGAAAACGCATACTGTCCATGGCGGCCATCACTTCTTGGGTTATTATGCAAGAGGGATCGGGGTGCACTCGGTCAGAGCCGTAAAGAAAGGACCAACATGCAGACTGGAGAGCACGAAAAAAAAACATACTGCCCTCTGCCAGTTACTTGGGTTGTTGAAGCTTTCGAACTGAATTGAGGTAATGCCCGTGGCACGGGCCCCTGGTAGCCATCCGTGACTTGGGTTGTTGGGCTTGTGAAAAAGGAATTGGGTACATTCTTGCTCAGAACTAAACAGACAGAACCCAACTGCGTTTTGGGAAGCCGGAAAAACGCATACTGCCCATGGCAGCCATCGGTTACTTGGGTTGTTGGGCCTATGAAAAAGAATTGGGGTATTGTTTTGCTAAGAAGTTGGGGCTGCCACGCGGATCGAATTTACTTTTGGTCATAACCACAAAGCAATAGTCAAAATGCACGTTGGGAACCCAAACGCAGCTGCATGGGCCCCCAAGACATCACATTTCACGACGGTTTCCGTCAGGGAACCTACGTTGTACTCTGCAACTAGGCGTGCAGTTGGGGAGACAAGGGGCCTCACTTTCAAAAGGTAGGGCTTCAAAACAAAATCAAAAAGACATGCCGGTTTGTGCGGCGGCCTCTTAATTTCATGGCCTGGGAAGCTGGTAAAAAAGACAGCTCTGCTTGGCCCATCAGGGGGTCACCGAGCCGAACCTTGCAAAATGCATTTAAGAAGCTTGACAAATGAATTTTGGTTTGTCGGGCCTCTAAATTTCACGGGAGTCACCCCACCCAACAGGACCTCCCGATAGGAGTTTTAGGCATCCCGACAAATGCATCTGCCGCCCTCTTCCCCACTTTCGTGCCTTGGGTTGGTTGGGTGCTGGCTGTTGGGCTGTGGACGTTTGTTCCTGGTTCCTTGCCGGTTGGGACGCGGGTGCGGGGCTTGTTCGGTAGGTTTTTCTGAGTCTCACTACGCCGCGGCCAGTTTTTGTTTCGCAGTTGTACTTTTCATAAGGAGTCTTACTTACAAAACTTGAAGAGACATGTTTTGCAGCCCTGGAAGAACTAGAAGGTTTAATAGGCTTAAGGTGTATAATAGAAAGCCTCGCACTTATAAAAACCTTATCTAGGATAATTGCAGCATTTCTCATTCTACGGATCTGGTCTGTTTTCTTTTTCTGAAGCCATGTGCCTCTTGCCGATGTGGCAAACAAAAAAGGAAGTGAGGCACTTCTGCACTCGGCTGGGAAGGGTTCAGATTTCCCTCTGCGCGGCAGCTGCCAGGAAAGCATTAAGTTGGGCATCTGAAGCTGTATACTCAGACTTATGATCATTGGGGGGCGCACTTACAAATAAAGAGATATCATGCTGTAGGATGAAGCTTCGCGATGCGGTTGGCGGCTCGACTGATACAACAAGAGTCCCCATAGTTTATGCCCAGTTGCCGGCACGTCCGCCAGGTGAAGCTTGCGCACTGCCATGAAGCTGACACCCTCCGAGCACTGCGCAGCATCCGCAACCAGAACGCCTGCAGCTTGTCACCGAGAGACACACTTTTGGTTTTCCTCGCTTGTCCAAGGCAGCTGCGATATAGTTCGCCCCTTAGGTTCGCAGGAGAGTTGAACCTTGGACAGTCTCAACGCAGAACGTGCAGCGCTGCTCAAAAAGTCTTCACGAAACCAAGTTTTTGGAGCCAAGCTCTGCCAGCTCTTCCATTGTTGCGATACCAAACTTGGCGCCCACGGCAGCCCTTTCCTTGATCTTCGAAGGTGCGCAAAAAGAACTCCACTGTTCGAACTAGGTTGGCACCTGCAAGTGCTCGACCAAGGCTTTCAGCCCAGAACTATGTGCCACCAGTATCAGTGCCTGTCCCAGCAAAGGTACATCTCTGTGTGTCAAGTCAGCTGATCTGAGCACTCCAACCTTCTCATCATTTTTGCATATGCTCTCTGCAATGGCGAAGAGTTTTGGGGCGCAGATTTCCATGTTGGCCAGGATGCGAGCCTAGCAAACTGTTCAGTGCCTGCACGCATTTGGGCATGACGTGTGGAGTCTAGAGTGTGTCCTTGCTTCCATTTCTCCCCTCATGGAGACTTCCGAAATGCACCTGCCGCCATCCGCGCAGTGCTCCGAAAGATAATCATCTTGCAAAACATTGACCCGCTGCTATGCAAGCCTAACGTTGGGGTATCTTGGGATTAGCATGTTACAAGCTGAAGCTTGCTTGGCCAAGGCTCACAGAGGTTGCAGTAAGCCCGTAGTCGCTTTTCCGGTATACCTTTCCTTGGAGCAAGCAGCCTGCAACGAGCTCTCTCACCCTGGCATGTGGCCGCAAATGCCCATAACATTCTGACATATTCTGACTTGGCCCAGGCTCGCTCGCTTTGCATCATATCGCTTCAAAGCTTCCGCTGTCAGCAACACCTTTGCAGTGTGGTGCGCTCTGGCATCCATGGCATAGCAAAGGTTACTACTCATTGTTGGTGGCAAGTCCTGCCTTGCTCACCATTTTGCGTCGCAACTTTGGCGTAATGATGCCGTCCGGCACGCCTAGACTTTGTACTGCGATGTTCTGTCTGCGCAGTCTCGAGATTGCCAAACAACAGCATTGCGTCGGCGACGATGCATCACCAGTGTCACTTACAAGAAACAGGATTCAAACGCGAAGGCGGTACCACGCGGAAATGATGTCCTTACAATCTCACAAGCGTCTCACAAGCAACAGATCGTAATAGCATGTAATAGCAGGTAGGCTTTGAAAGCATGATTCACTTCAACTTTGCCAAGGCGCGGAAACAAGCCAACCTGGTTGAGGCAACAATTCTTGCGATGCAATCAGATACATTTCGCGGAACGCGCATGTAATCCCAACGTGGGAGGACCATTTCCATGCTGTTCGTGAAGGCCAGGAACAGGGCGCATTGGAAATGATGACAGGAAGCCACCGTCGCCACGAGGGGCAAATACACCCTTCACAATGTCCTGAGTACTGAATGTCAGCATTACCAGATGCTGCATCTTTGTGTTTTGCGACTGCCCACACCCAAGAAAAGAAACTGAAAGGATTTGCTGCAGACCTGGCTCCAACAGCTGACGCCCTTCACTTGCCTGCAGGGCATGCCCCAAATTTGCAGATCAATGCAGATCACCCTTTTGTTGCAACACGCAAGCTGCAATTTGCGCCTCGTTCAAGATGGGGGTGCCGGTGAAACCCACCAGGACGCTACCACGCGCACTTGAAAGTAGAGTTCCTTTGCTTATACGAATACCAGCAAGCAGCAGGTTTCAAAGGTAGGCTGCCTGAGGCCAAGATTCTTAGTCGAGCAAGTTGTTGTCCATACTGGGTCTGCAGCCGCACAAGGTTGTGGACCTGCGATCGGCCGGCAGCCATAAGATGCGTCATGGATGCGTGCCCATGCAAGCAAGAGCAAAAGGATCCCTGTGGCGCTCCGGGAAAGCATGGCCAGGCCTCATCCATAATCACCACCTCGCAGGATCAAGTTTCAGATGACGCAATTTTAAGCATCTTTACCACCTTGTTGGAGTAAGCGTTGTTGGCAGCATGGGCGCGGTCAAAGGCAACCTTTAGCAGAGCGCTGACGGGCCAGCCGTCCTTGGTGTTGTCATGCTGCATTGAGGCGCCACGATATTTTCTAGGGCCAAATGCTTCCCAAAGCTCTTGTCGCAGGTCTGCCTGCCATTTGTCCGGATGGAGCATTTTGTTTATCTCCTGTTTTCGGTTTCCCCTCGGGCTTCAGCCAATTCAAGGAAGGTTTCCATTATGTTATCCATGGCTTCACTCGTTCTTTCCAAAGACATTTCTGCGATCCTGCTAGCTAGCGGGGACTTCCTTGACATCATGATTAACTGTGCTCATTGTTATTGTTGGACTTCCTTAGACAATAAAAATCAATTTTTGTCAGCCATGCATGCTGCAGACATCATGCCACGTTGACGTCATATCAGGTGCTTGCAACTGCTGAGGCGAGCACATGGCGACCCCCTGCCGACGTGTACCGTAAGGCCCGAAGTGGAGCAGCTGGGGCGTCTTCGTCAGGAAAGCGGCAGCGGAATGCCTGTACAAGGCAAGGAATGCAATTGGGCTCGACACGGCAATGAGGCACAATCTCACCTCTCTACGCGACCGCCTCATTCGGCCCATGTAGAACCTGGATTTGGCTGCAGCCGCCAGCTTCTGGGCTGCAATTAGGAATGGTCGAGTTGTTCTGCTCCAAGGGGCCACCCTTTCATCTCCAACACTTCCCGCAAGTTGCAGCAAAGCTCATGCAAAATGACACCTGACAGATCCTTGGGCGTTTGAAACAACGGGATTCAACACTGTTCAGCAGGGACTGCGTCAATGTCAACTGCGGAAGCCGCAAGTCTCTGGCAAGCCACTGCTAAATCCCATCGCAGCTGTCGTCGCGAGCGCCAGTCTGTGCAACCACAAGCTTTAGCTGCATCCTGCGGCCTGACGATGCGACTCCATGGTCCATTGTCATACATGGAAATATTGTCCGCATCTGCCAGCTACGACGCACATGAAAAAGTCGCAGCAGTACCCTGTCAATGCAAGTAACGTATCCATCTCATGCACACTAAGATCTCCCGATTGGCCTCAAGCATGCGAAGAAATCCCTGTACCTTGCATGACATCCTATTTGTCACGCAGCCAGCACAGGAAAACGCACAAACAATGAGCTCAGGCTCAGGAGCAGACCGACTTGGCCACCGCAGCAGCTCCATGTAAAAATTCCGGCAGACTGGTTCCTGGATGTGACTGATACCCTCCCAGTATTCATACATATTCATACAATCTCTTTGCTGATGAACGTGTCCTTTCACCTGTTACAGGTCAGTAATGAAAGGCCTGTCGAACAAAGGCCGGACTTCATTTCTGGTTTTGACTGCGGCTTTAGATCATTTTAGATCGAATGTGGTGATATCATGCTTGTATCGATTTTGATGACCTTAAATCACATGTTGTTGGCCTTGAGGCCGTGGTGGGGGAGACAACACAGTGTTCAAGTAAACTCAAGTATGTTAGGATGCTTGCGTGCGGACTCCCCACTACATACGCTACGCAACCCCATGCTGCTGCGGCCCGCGCAAACACAGGCGATATTGGGCCCTTGATCCGCCTTGGCACCTGCCCATGGCGACGGGGCACGTGGACGGCTCCATTTTCTGGGTTTCACAGGTGGCAAGACGCCCATTCCTTTTCTGACCTGAGCCGCCCACACCATACACCTCAGCTGCCTTGCGCAATTTCGCGCACCCAAGCGTGCGGCCTGTTAGAGCTCCGATGCCCGGTGATTGGGTTGGCCGAAACGATGCGCTCCGAGAACTATGTGTGCGCCACGGTGTCCAGATCCCGGACTGCGTGCTGGCTGTGCAACATTATGCAGTACGCTGTTGTTCGCACATTCACAGCCCATGACGTGCCCGAACCGCAGCCGCCTGGAGTCACCTTGCTTTGCTGTCAACATGTCGCAGCCTTGGGCCGAACGGGTGGGGTCGGCGTTGTGTAGCTACAATCGTGAAAATGCGAGGGGGGCTGGTGGCAGTCCGCCATGCTTAGCGACTTTCTTGGGTTTGCATGGTCGGGTGCTCTACGTGCTGCTCTGCATGCAGCGCTGCGGCTCTTACTGACAGGATTGGCAGGGCACTTGCGCAATTGTGCTCCATACCATGAGCTGATCCCTGGTGGGAAGGTGCACGTTCAGCGTTTACCAGAAGGGCTTGCGCAGGCGGCCACTTACATTGATCCATTTGGCGTCCAAGGACAGGATGGCGACATCTCAGCGGCAGGTCAGGCCATATGTTTGACGATGTCTGGCAGAAGCCCCATGATTCAAGACAATCTCGAGGAAGTTCAACGTCGTTCCCGCAGTTTTCCTCGACATTGCTCAACTTTGCTGTCAAAAAGCTGCGCCAACGACCTTCTGCGGACTGGAGGACCACATTACCAAGCGTCGCGCAACGGCCACAAATCACGAGTGCCCCCAATGTCGCACTGCAGAGACACATTATCCTTTCTGTGAAGAGCTTATGGGCAACCACGCAAAGACTCTCATACAACAAGCAAAATTGAATCCATGCCTTTCAACTCAAGAAGTCCTCAGTCATGGCCGTTCCGCCTCTGACGGGCACTCAAAGCCGCAGTCCACGATGATAATGATGATGATGATGATGATGATGGATTCAGTCGCCTCGCAACTCAACCGTCAATCGGACCCGTTCCGGCGTCAACAGGGACGGCGGGGAGGACGAGATCGCGGACGGGGCCGCCTAAATGGGGAAGCTCCAGCAGCATCCTTGGGAACAATAGCGCCACCCACCGCACGGGATAGCCAAGCGAGCGCAGTGCACAGTGGCACGCATAACGACCCACTTGTTGGGGGCGCGCGTCCTTTACAGCTGCTGCAGCAGGAAGGCGCGCAGGTCCTGCCTCGCTGGATGACGTTTGTCTTGCAACCACATGCCGTGCCCGGGTTCCGACTTTGCAGTCCGCCCCCGCAAGACTCCGTGGCGTTTTTCGAGGCGCCCTTCGTGCTGGCCTCGAGCTTGCCACAGTACAGTTGCACTAGTTCACTATTACGTACTATTACTATTAACATCTACTACTCGTATTTGCTACAAGTATTAGTTTTCTGGCGACTATCTACTATGACTATCTACGACTCTCTCTCTCTCTGCCGTATCTACGACTGTTATTGCTAATGCGACTACTATTCACTACGACGGTTGCCATTTACCAACTGATTCTGAGGATGCTCCCCACCCCACGGAAGCGCCGTTCACGCAGGGCCCACTGAGAGGGTGGCGCGCAAAATGCCTAGGACGCTTCACGCGCCAGCGCTCCAACACGGAGTTCCCACCGAGCGGGTCATCGATTCCGAGCAGAATTCGGAGGACGCCACACGCACCAGCGCAATTTTGGAAAGAGGCAGTGGCTCTGGCCAGCCCTACCCCGTGCTTCAAGACTTAATTCATGTAGTTGGGGCTATTGAACCATAGTCCCTCACGAGATCTCACCACAACCTCCTCACAACCTCACAAAATGCCAGCAACCTCTCACGACAACCGTACTTCTACTATTCCTACTAGACATCCACCTCCACGGAAATACCCTGTGTCATGCTTTCGGGAAAATCTCAGGATCTGCTTGGTTCAGCTGGGAGATGGTTCGTCATGAGGGAGGGGAGTTGGAGATCGTTTCCGGCTTTATTTTCCGGAAAGATTGCAGTGGCTCCATAACATGCACCAAATTTCAGCGTGAGTGATGGGAAAGCATGGGAAGAGCATTTACCCCAATTGCTGCGCAACAGCAATTGGCCTTGAGTTTGTCTTGCGGGCTCACTTTCAATTTCCATTCTGGCCCGAGCGAGAGTCCTTGGGGAAGATTGGTACTTTGGGTCGTGGATCCAGGTAGTAATTGTCCAGCACGCAGATCATCTCACGTGTTTTGCCTCAGACTTTTCAATCAAGCTGCGAGAATCAAGGCAACATAAGGCAACAGGCAAATGGGCAATGTTGGCCTGAACCAGTGGGATGGTCGACTAGCCTAGGAGCAAAACGGCCGCAGGAACGACTAATAAAAACAGGAGCAGCGCCGAACCAATCCTTGAGATGTGTTCCAAAAGCATCCCGAATCGTTTCAGATTCCTGCATTCGCGAGATGGGCGACTGCGGGTGCAGCATGAACGCCACGGCCTCGCTTGCCAGACCCTGCTTGACTTTTGCCTTCGAGAGCCAAGTTTGCCTGAAGCCTCCTTAAGCAATAATGCGATGCAAAAACCCTGGCGTACATGAAGCGTTGTCAGGCACTATGCTTGATGAAGTCCAAATGCTGATGCTGAATGTTGCGTGGTCTTTGCACGTCCCTACACCTGGCCTCTTGATGTGGCTGCAGAGGTGGGCATTGGCCTTCAAGCGTGGCAGTACTGCATCACATTGGTCTGTGGAGTGCCATGTGGCCAGGCATGATGTGCATGCCTTTCATCACCGGCTTCAACTTTCGGCCAACCTTCGCCTTCCACATCACCTGGGCCTGACGGAGACATACTCTACTTCAGCCACGGCAGCTGCACAGAAGTCACAGAAGTCTCTCAGAACATGTAGTGGTGCACCGCAAGTAGAATTATATTGTGGGCATGCTGCATCAAGCAAGAGAAGCATGATGAAACATGACTTAACGCGTTTGGAAAGCTGGCTGGCCCATCACATCAGTCACGACTGTAGGCAGGCACGGCCCCAAGAAATTCTCGACTGAACATAACTCTTTGCACATTATGAATGCCTGCAGTAACGGCAGCGAAAACGCACACGCGCGACAGTTGACTGACTTGGTGGCGCGAGTGGTGGCTACAAATGGGGCACCACAACATACGATATTTCAATGTTGGTGTCCAATGCGACAGAGCAAAGCAAATCATGAAACTAAGGGTGTTGAAGGACCAGTCTGTGCAACCCAGAGGCAGCGAAGCGATTGAAGCCTGCTTTAACACAGGCTTGCAAAGCTCCACATCCGCCTTGAAAGCTGTGCCTGACGAGCCAACTTCAGGAGCTCCGCTCCAGTCTCCGGGGTAAGAAGAATCCAAAGGCACAGGGTCCTGCGTAAACTGCAGCTGAACTTTCATGACACGACCCACGGCAAAGCATCATGTCCTGGTTTATGATCAAGTCTTTCAGACCTGGGGCTCCTGAATGTTTGGCGCTAAATGTCAGCCAGCAAAGGATGGTGGCAAACGTGCGCAATCTCTCAACACGGGCTCCGATGACTTCTACTTCTCGATCCAGCTCTTCTTCGCCATCGAGGTCAGACAAGTCGGATGCCTCCTGCAGTCCATGATGCTTAGTCCAAGATCCTTCATGCTCGTGGCGCTGGACCATGGCAGCTTGAGCTTTCAATCCAATCCTGGGTTAACTTGTGAGTACCCGTGGTGGATAACAGGTACAGTAGCACATGATAAAAACATCATCGGCTGAGCGCTTACTGTCTCACATTTCCTGCTGAATGTCCAGACTCCTGTCTGGAGTGTACCAGCTTCTCTCAATCTGGGATTCGGCCTGTGCAACTAGCCCCTACCAAATGATCAGTACAGGCTATCCCTCAACAACTGCGTGTGTTCCTTGTCCGCGCTGCTGCTTCCGGATGATGTGCTCTCACTGCTGGACGATTCATCATCGCTTAGTTCCTGCTGCGTGGCAAACTCTTTGCGAGGGAAATTCCACCTGCCACAACCAAAGCCTTTGCAGCCCCATAGGAAAGCGTAGCCGTTCCTCCGCTGCAGCTGGGCCTTTGTGGCTTGATGGCTCAATGCCGGCATTGCTGTCCTGGCCAGCGCCTTGCGAAATTAAATCTTTGCAGCACAGGTCTGGAACAGCGCGAATTGGCTGCAGACCTCCAGCATTTCGGGCCGGAGCTCCTCGCTCCTAGCAAGGTGCAGCAAGTCTGTGATAAGACAGCCATAGCTTTAAACAACAAAAAACAACGGGCTGAGAGGCTGCCAGCTGCGGTCAAGCCTCGGAGGAAGAGGAGGAAGAGGATGAGGATGAGGAGCTTGAGTCGTCATCACATTCCTTGCCCGGCAGTCTCGGCTGAACAAACCTTTCCTCGGGCGATCCACTCTTTGCCGGCCTGATTCTTATTCGCCATGATCCCATGATCCGCCGAACCCCTTCAACCAGCTGATTGATGGATCATCAGCGAATATGGCGAATATTTGGCCGTCTACAAAGTTCAATGCGTTGCGCCGAATTATTGGCGTCAGCTGTCCAATTTCAATCTGTGATCCGTGCTACAAGTTGCATGCAGACAGCTAGGTGCTTCTCCTTTTTTGCCGCGAGCTGGAGGAACGGACGGCAAAACGTAGCTTGTATCTGCTGAAACCCCAAGCACCAACCGCCATTGCTGCAGCAGAGCTCCAATCCTAGGCACTTGCAAACAATGAATGCTCGATATGCGCCACACGTCACAGCACAGACTCAACAACTCCGTGAAGGGCTTACAAGCTTCCCCAGCTGCCCGGAAACTCCCCAAAATGGAGGCCCTTCAATTCAGTCTCACCAACTGCCAGGAATAGTTGTACTCCACAAGAAGTCAGGAACTGTGCAAACAATCTTTGCTCACCGTAGCGCCCTTCCATGCTTTAAGAACGGACTATTTCAACTTCACTTCTTCTTGCTGGCTGCCGCCTAGTTGCGATGCCTTGTATCGAGTCAGGGATGCAGCTGGTCTTCATTCGGCTTGGCCAGCGGGTGGAAGAACAAGGTGCCTAGTAGTCACGGATATGCCGGGAACGGGCATCACCTGGTTGGAAAAAAGTGGCGCTCGTCCTGCAACCGAACGGCCTTGCGGAGCTGCTTGGCGATCGATATTTGCTCTTCCACAGCGCGCACCCTGCAACATTAGGAATCTTTCTTGTGCATCAGACACTTGCGCATGAGTGTAAGACATGCAAAGACTAGTTTGTCGAAGCTTCGTCAAATCAACGCGCACAAAACAGGGTACTTACAACTGGGCTTGCAGCCATTTGCCTGGCACCAGCTAGAGCATATGCGTGAACAGCAAGGAATCCCAATTCTCCACTTCCAAACTGTCGGTATGCCCTTGGTGAGGCCATTGGATAGGAGTGTCATCATCGTCGTTCTTCATCCAGGCGTGGACCAAGATTATGCATGCTTCTGGTGCTCCTACTCGCGGGCTCAATACAAAGTCGTGCTGGAGCGAGCAAAGAATTCGTAGTGTGTGTTTTGAAGCAAGCGTCCGCAGGATGGATTGGGTCGATGGGCCCCCTCTGGCGTGCAAACATCGTTAGCTAATGTTGGTTGCCAGGCCCTCGGTCTGCTTGCGCCCGAGACAAGCCATGGCCAAATCCTGTCAATAGGTCATTAGACAGAACGATTTCTATGTTGCCAGCCATCATTCACTTTCGGGGTTCAAGTTTTGTAGCCATCGCTCCTGTTTCAGATCGCTACTATAGGGTTTCTCGAATTGCTTGCTAGCCATGACCTGTTAGGGCTCTGTGCTTGTTTCAGTTTTGCAAGAAATCGCTGCTTTTTGAGCTTCGGTTTCGCTAGCTATCACAGTGTTCCGTTTGCGCTCAGGGGGTTTGCTTGCTACCATGGCTTTTGTCAGGAGACTCCCTTTTATGATTTTTTTGGGCTCAGGATTTGCCGCAATTGAGTTTGCATAGCTGTTGAGCGCCAGGATGCGGTGCTGCGAGTCTGGAAAAGTGCTTGCAAACCAGCATTTGCTTAATGGCTTAGATTCGGCAGCCATCACTTCTTTGTGCAATCTGGGGTCTGTTTGGGGTCGGCTGAAAGCTTCTTCAAGGTGTTTGCATGCCTGGTTTGACTGGTAATCTACCCTGCCTCCGACATTCCCTTTCGCGGAAGAACGACCCAGGCAGCAGATTTGACGTCCTAACAACATCTCATTCAGTTGTTTTGCAAGCTTGGTAGCGTGGGCGTCTCGTCAGCAGGTGGACGCAGGTTGCACGAGGCCGTGGTTTTTTTTGCTTTTTCATCATTGGACACAGCCTTTTTGCCTGGTAGCTCAGCTCATTCCAAACTTGTGGGATTTTTGCAAGCTGATGATCAGCGGCTGACGTTGCAAACATGACGGACACGCAAACAACTCCTTGCGGGAACGTTTTGCAAATTTCTTGTCTTCCAAACCTGTAGGGCCTAGATGCCAAGCGGACAGCTATGTTGACAGTCTGCCGGCAACAAAAGAGACAGCAGAACAAAAGGGCAAGTCTAGTCCAAAGTGTTTGCATGTGATTGCCGGACGTATCCAACAGAATCTTCACATGCCTTCAAGTTAATCTAATGGTGGGATCATGCGGGCTGGTTTCTTGGCAGCAGTGGTAATTATACCGAGCGGCTCTTGAAGCGTCGGTAATTGGAGCTCTTTGCGATCAATGGAATCAACCAAGGAGTGCGCAATGACATCTGCAATTTCTCCTTGCAAACACACGACACAATCACACACTCCTGGTCATCTGATCAACGCCACCAGTCTTGCCAAGCATCGCATGACATTGGTACGCTGGCCATTGACGAGCCGTGCGTCTGTCAGGTTTGAAAATGCAAACCGGCACCTGAGGCGGGCACGCAAAACTATAAGGTGTTGGAGTTTTGTCTGACATGTTCTTTCGCAGCAACTTAACCCAGTTCGGGCAAGACACTGCAACGCAAATGTCGTGTTGATGGCATGCTTTTGGTATTTGACACCATGCTCAAAGCAGAACGGCGAAGTAACGTAAAAACATCCACGGGATTGCTCCATGTCCCACAACTCTTGAACAGCATAAGCTGCTTCGTTCCACACGCTGATTTCATCACCAGATCTCATACCTCTTCGACGGTTCTCTTGTGGCCTGTATGGCGCGTGCCTTTCGTCAAACTTTCCAATTCTCAGCATCCGGTTGCCACCAAGCGTCACCCCCAAATGCAGCATGGCAGTAGCTCCATCTGTGTGTGAATCCATTGTCAACTCACCGCCCTTCCAGATCTGCGCCTCCACCCCAGTGAAATGAGTACGATCTTCCAGGCAGCGTCGAAACACCTTGAGACTGTGTTGCAGTTCGCGGTTGCCACTTGCCTGGCACTCCTGAGCATGTAGAGCTTGTGCCAGCCGTCCCCAACATGCTGCCGATGCATGTTGGAAAGCCTGAATAAATGCCTGGATTCGAACAGGTGCTGGACGAGCTGGTAAGAATTCATCTGTACGAGGCACGAAGAGCCTGGCAGAGCAAGCTCCCCAAAAGCTGCTGGCATGCCAGTCAGCTTTCAATATGTTTTCGCATTGTTCGTTGATGCTGTCTTCCTCGAAGCCCCACTGGCTTCGCAAACAAGCAGGGTCGCAACAGTCGTCCAACAGGTAGGATGTGCAAGGATCATGCAACAAAAAATCGACCAGCTCCTCAGATGTAACACTAGCAAATGCAAATGGTGCCCTGCCCATTGGTAGCTGGACACCATATGAGATGGGATGCGCGGCGTCATGGTGCCGGAAGATACGACGTGCGGATGCATGTGATTGCTGCCAGCTGCCGCAGGGCAGCACCACACACAAGCAGCAAAGCACCGACTTCAGTTGAAACACGTGAGCGGGCATGCGCTCTTCGACTTTCAGGCAATGTATAGAACTGACTGAGGGCTGCAATGCATTCGCCAAACTAGCTATGTGTGGGTGTGATGTAAAACTGTGTTACGGGCACTGAAAGATTGTTGAAGTTTTTGCGAGGCAGTGGAGGGGGCCCATGCCTATCCTGGGTACCAGACAGTATTCATCTATCACAATGTCCGCGGAAAGGTACCCTGCTTGAACATCGGTCATGTTTATAACCATGTTTATGACCAATTGCTACCGCCTGAATGGGGCGCGTGACCTGAGCCCGGCTCTGATTGAGACAGTCGGTGTTCATGCTCACGTGCTGAACAGGACCTACATCAGGTTTGTTTTCGCCAGGTTTGGATTTTGATTTCCATCCAGAAGCTGCGTTTTCGTCAAAAATGTCATGCAAATTCAACACAATGGCAGAGTGGCGATGAATTTGCCTGGGAAGGTCTGCGGGTGACTCGATGAGCATAGTGCGGACTGTCAATAATGAGCAATCAAATGCTGCTGGCTGCAAATGGAAATTGTTACTGGCCCAAACAAAACATTGTATATGGGAAGTATGTGTGCGTGTGTCCATCTTTGTAACCAAAAGCTAAGAGCGCTGGTTGTAAAAGATTGTAAAGGCAACAAGTTCAGACACCGCGCTTGCCGTGGCAACGAACCACACACGGATAAAGGTTGAAGTTGTACCGAATGACCTCCCACTTCGAAGATCTTATCTCTGGAGACTTGCTTGTACACTGAGAGCGACGTGCTACATACATGGACCTGGCATAATGACATGACATGACATGATACCGCAACCTGTGCAAGTCAACGTCATCCAAATGTCCAACATGATGGTAAACAACATGGCTGTCAATGCTGGGATGGCACCCGTGCATTCGTGGAGCGCGGTCCCACAACCATGCCGCACTTGGCTGCGCTGATGATCGTTTTCGAGATAATCGGGGTTTAATTTTGATGGCCTTTCCCAAATGACCTTGCAGCCGGCGCAGCAAGCAATGGCCAATAGCATACAATAGCCACATCAAGAGTCAATTATATATTATATATATATGTGTGTGACTATGATGGTTGGGTTTTGAACGTAGGATCTGTCAGAAGGCTTTTCACGCGAAGGAACTATCAAAATGTCGGATCGCGTGCCGCATGCGTCATTCTGAATGTTCCTGTCCAAAGTTTGGGATCCCCCTGCCGAAGTCATTATTGGGTGAACAAGCGAGTGCTGTACGGAGATCCATGATGAAGAGCCTAAAGGCACCCCACAGAACAAACCTCGGTGGGCGTTGCCGGAAGGGATGCAAACTTATCCTCCTCCTCCTGTGTCGACTTTCTTACCTTCGTGGGCCTTGCTTGATGTGCCTTCCCTCTTCAGTGAAACCGGCTGTGTCAACTTCTGCTTCCTCAGAGCCCAAAACCGGTTGTTTGTACATTTGCTTTGGTCGTGTCCAAAAGTTATTTGGTTGTGGACCTTACCGGTGGACAATGGTGATGCTCGGCCATAAAAGACGAGGACGCTGGTTTCAGTTCCCAGAAGATCCAGAAGTGTCGTGCCGAACTCTACGAGGATGCCAGTTGCCAAGTCGAAGCCAGCGAAGCTTAAGAAGATGTCAGATGCCTAATCGAAGCCAGCCAGGCCGATGCGTGGTGAGTCAGGCATAAGCACGGAATGGTGAGGTCCACTGATGTTTGTCGGCATTTGGCTCAGCATGCCGCCAAGCTTCGCAAATACTTTCGGAACTGACGATTGTGTTTTTCGAACAAGAAAAAGGGCCACTTCTCCGACGGACCCTCCCTTTCCTCCGACCACGAGCGTGACCGATCCGCCGCAGAAGCCCTCAGCATGGAAAGCAAGTCCTCGTCCGTTTGAGCCTCCTCCGCCCACCTGAAGGCCGACTTCAGCGTCTCGCGACCACGGGGCCAGCTGGCTGGCTGATACGTCTCCTGTCAATCCTACCGGGCATGTGCACGTACATGTACATGTCCAACTCCACCCCCGTGCAGAAGGCACGCGGCCGGAGGGAAGCTGAAGGTGTCAGCAATCGCAAAATTTCCGGACCGGCATTCGAAGCAAGAGCCCACTCCAAGGCGATCCAATCCGGATGACTCGCTGTACCGCAGCTGCGATCGGCGCCATGATGCAGCTAGAAAATCAAGCGCATCTCACACGTCGCACAAGCAGCGTGAAGAAAAAGGTAATGATCTCGCTCGCCCTCATCCATACAAACAATCACACTCCGAAGCACTTCATCAGCAACGTGCGCATAGCAGTCGGCAATTGTAGCATCACAGCTGCACGCCTGAGAGACAAGGCGCCCGCAGCTTGTCGGTAGCTGCCTCAGCCGACCAGGGACGAACAGCTGCGAGAAAAAGTCTGAAGGGGACATTAAAAAAAAAAATGAGGAAACTAGAATCCAATACCCGCCCTCAGCGAGCCCAAAACGATCCTGCAGCAGTTGCCATTGCTTGTGAAGAACATAACTCATTCAAGGCTGAAGCGCATGTTCGCAAGGCTTCTTCCCTGGCCCTCGAGCTCATCCGCGACGCCTCTCACACACCGGGAAGCCTCAGGTGTGAGCGGGCTTGGAAACTGCTGTTGTTCATCCGGATTTTGCCATGGCGCCCCGCCGGCGTCATCCGCGTTCCCAAGGCTGACCTTCTGGCCCGGTTCCAATCATTCTTCCGTGGGGCATGGGAACTCCTGCTAAACCGGGCGAGAGAGGAAGCGTCAGCGGCAGGGCAACCAGCTGGTGCCATCTCCAGCCCACCAACGGCTGCGCAGAGGGCGGAGCGAGCAGTCAAGCTAGCTCATCCCGGTGAACTTTCCTCTGCCCGTCAGGCCCTACTTGCTGAACCTCTCGCGCCAGCGACAGAGACCCGATCCTTACAGGAGGAGCTGCAACCCGGCGAGGAAGTGTTTGCGTTCCTGGACGATACCTACATTGCAGCCTCGCCTGACCGTGCCACATATCTTTGTCGCCGCCTCGAGCACCACCTTTCTCTCATGCGCGGCTGCAATTGAACACTGCCAAAACAGCCTTTTGGAACGCTGCTGGCATTGCTCCCGCTGGCTTGGCACAGCACGATTGCGAGGGACATGGGTGGGTCGGAGACCCTGCACTCGAGCCATCTGAGCGTGGCCTCGTCGTGCTGGGTGTGCCGTGCCCATTGGGTCGCCTGACTTCGTCCGCCAACACCTTCACTTCATCTTCGAGCGTCAAGCGGCCTTGCTTGACCAACTCCCGGCGTTAGAGGATGCCCAGGTCGCATGGCTGTTGTTGTCCTTTTGTGCTGCACCTCGAGCCCAATACCCTTTGCGCACTGTGCCGCCCCCTCTCACCGAGCCGGTCACGACCGTGCCGCGCTTTCGTGTCTGGCAGCCTTGCTGTCGCCAGGGGCCAACTGTGACTCTTTGCCACCTCGCCGCCGCCCGGGCGCTGCGGCACGGTGGTTCCACAGTGCCGTCCGGCACGTGTCGGCACCTTTTGGGCTTCTTGGGCCGACTGCCTCCAACTCTTCGCACGCCGTGAGCCTGCCTTCGCTGAGCGCCTTACTGCATCCCTCGCGGGCCGGAACCCGCTACCACCTGCGTTGGACTCACTTCGCATGGCCGGCCATTCCTTGTCCGTTGCGGGTTTTGATTTGCCCGCCTGGCGAGACCTCTAGCATATGCCTCCCCCCCCACAGCAGGATGATGACCCAGGCATCGACGTCACCCGTGGATGGCAGCGATCCGCGTCCCGTGCCCTTGACGACTTTGGTGATCGGGCCCTCCGACGCGAGCTAAACCCAGCTTCGGCAACCATGCTTGACTCTCAAAGTGGCCCGTATGCAGCACGTGTTCTCACAGCTCGGCCCACCCCACCCGAGCTCTGCCTGCCGTCGCCCCTCTTCCAGGCGCTGCTTCTCCGGCGGCTGCGTATGCCGCTGCCCCTTGCACCTGGAGCTTGCCGTTGCCAGCGGGGCTTGGACGCCTTCGGTGACCACGTCGCAGCATGCCCACGCTCTGGGGTGCTGCGTTCCCGTGGCAGGCCTATGGCGGGCCTCTTGAGAGGGCAGCAGCCCGCGTCTGCCGCGAAGCTGGAGCCACAGTCCAGCCGCACGTCCTGCTTCGGGACTTGAATGCTCAGCCGAGGCGGTTAGACGAGCGCCGGATTGAGTGCCCTAATGGGCCCTGCCCTGCCGGTGGACTTGTGGATTTCGAGACCTTCCGTGCCGCTCACATCCTCCGTGAGCTTCCTGCACAGGGACCGCGCTGAACTGTTTGAAAAAAGGTCCGTTGAAAAAAAAAAATGCACTTTTTCGCCATTCCCATGAAAACGCCGGAAAAAAATCATGCTACAAGAGCTCACCCCCTGATGTCGGTTTCACGCTCTCGCAATGTGAACCGGCAACCGGCATACATACATACATACATACATACATACGTACATATATACATACATAAATCATAGCCAATTAAAAAAATGTGTGAAAGAACGAGAGACCCTCGAGACGACATTCTGCGACGAAACCTAGACCGTTGTACATTTTCTTCAGAAAACGCACAATGAGGTCTACAAAAACCAAGCGTCTCCGAAAACGTACTGGTTGTCTTAGGCCGAAATGTAGGTTTTTCTCAGGAAACATACACGTCGGCCCACGAAAACCAAGCTTCTCCGAGGATGCTCCGCGCGGGAGCGCGATTTTCTATCAAATTTTCAGGATGCGTCGCACTCGCACGGAGCCGCAATTTTTGATGAAGAATGGGATCATCTGCGTCGCCTCCTGATCTATCCGTCTGGAGCCTTAAATCCCAAAACCCTTTTTTCTGGACGCGAGAAAAAGGAGGTTGTCGCCTGCCTGTGTTCCCAGCCTCGTCCTATCTTGTTTCTGCATCTTGGGATTTTATGTTCTCAAGGCCAACACCCTGGGTTTTTTCAGCCTGCGTGGCGCATACAAGTAAAACTTGGCATTGAGCGTAGGACTAGCGTAGGTATCGGTACAAACCC